ACAAGGCTTCGCGCCAAAATACATGCATGCACGTGCAATAACACAATCGCGAAGCTATTAAGTTACTAAACAATGCCCTTGCGTGCGTCCTTCACGCTGAGTGTATAAATATCACGCGACAAAGTGATACATTGTTGCGCGCTTCGTTCTAAACCAGAGCACTGTCATTGCGCGACCTTGCCGGGCCTCCAGCTGAGGCGGTGGGTCTAAATCCTATTGTGGCTAATGCACCACGCCCCTCCGAGCCGGCTACCCTATCTCGCCGTGCCGCCTACTCCTGCCGCCGCCCTCGGCGAAAGCCCCACGTAACCCGGCGCGTGGCAGTTAGCCGCCGCGCTCGCGGCGCACACTATTTACTCTTGGCGCGCACTATTTAACCGTCGGCGCGCACTGTTTACTCTCGGCACGCACTATTAACCCTCGGTGCGCACTATTTACCCTCGCCGTGCACTATTTAGCCGGCGACGCGCACTATCCACCCTCGGCACGGACTATTTAGCTGTCGGCGCGCACTATTTACCCGTCGGCGCGCACTCTTTACCCTTGCACGGACTATTTAGCCGTCGGCGCGCACTATTTACCCTAGGTGCGCACTTTAATCATAACAATCACCGTCTTTCATGACGCGGGTGGGCGCACAAATCAGGCTGCCGCTACAGTATGCTGCATGCACCGATTAGTGAAAAGTAGATTGAATTGTGTGCGGAATTAATGTGTCCATCATTTTTCTAAGTGGTGTGATCCAGGACACGTCGATTTTAACCATATGCAGGCATCTCCACGAAAATCCACAAACCATGAGTGGTGTTTCCGCCTGAGACGCGATGCAAGAAACATTATAAGTAGATAAATGCCGTAACTTTTGCGCGTGAAGCGCCGTGCAATTATTACGACACCGTAGCTTTGTGACAGCGGTATCTATGCGCGATGTTTCGTACGGCGGACTGTGGGCTGCAACGCCGTGGGTATAAGCGATGTGACTTAATTGCTTGTGTGTGGCAGGTTGCGAGCAAAGCATGGCAACGACTGGGCAGCCGTCGGCGCAGAGCTGGGCCGCAGCGCGTCGTCCGTCAAGGACAGGTGTCGTCTGTTCAAGGACACGTGCAACTCAGGTATGCATTAATTTACTGCTGTATGCTTATGCACTGCTGTGTCCCATAATGAATAATGCACTGCCCTGTCTCATAATAAACAATTCACTGCAGAGTTTTATAATGAACAATGCACTGCCCTGTCTCATAATGAACAATGCACTGCTGTGTCTCCTAATGAAGCTGAAGGGGTCGTTGTCGTATATGTAGTACCCGAGGTGTCGGGAGTATGTCGCCTACGCCTACTCCCTAACCCTAACCCTAACCCTAACCATATCAGATATAGTTACCTCGGGTACATATTATACGACAACGACCCTTCGTGCCCTAATGAACAATGCACTGCCGGGGCTTATAATAAACAATGCACTGCCGCACTGCCCCGTCTCATAATGAACAATGCACTGCCCTGTCTCATAATAAACAATTCACTGCAGAGTTTTATAATGAACAATACACTGCCCTAGCTGTCTCATAATGAACAATGCACTGCTGTGTCTGGTAATGAACAATGCACTGCCGGGGCTTATAATAAACAATGCACTGCCGCACTGCCGTCTCATAATTAACAGTGTACTGCCCTGTCTCATAATAAACAATTCACTTCAGAATTTTATAATGAACAATGCACTCTGCCGTGTCTGTTAATGAACAATGCACTGCCCTCTCTCATAGGCCGCATTCACACGTAGCAAGAAATTCGGTATTTAGCGTTCACACGAGGCAAAATGCGCGGTCCAAGAAATATGGTATCTAAACAGAGCCGGTATTTGTTGAAATCGCATTGTTCGCTTGATTGTTACTAAAGCAGCTCGCAGCTCGCAAATACGAATAATCAGCGTGTGAACGCTCGGCCGCGTATTTGTCGCAGATTCGGTATTTTATAAATACGAAGTCTCGTGTGAACGAGGCTATAATAAACCATTCACTGCAGACTTTTATAATGAACAATGCACTGCCATGTCTTATAATAAACAATACACTGCTGTGTCTGTTAATGAACAATGCACTGCCATGTCTCATAATGAATAATGCACTGCCGTCTCATAATGAACAATAACTCTCCGGGTCTTAACTCAACAACTAGACCTCTTTTGCAACAGATATTCCTTATAACTTTGGTGTTTTTTGTTTTGTTTGTTAGGAATTTCATCGCAGTAAGTATTTGCTGCCAACATTAGGAGCAAGCAGCAAACTGACCATTGTAGGCAGAAAAACCGCTGCTTGTTACCCTTAATTTCGAACCCTGTTTTCCCATCACACGGTGCCCCTTGTTCGAGACTGTCCCCATCACGCATCCTCCGGCGTTTGCATCTGCAGGGAAGTGGCTGGCGGAGGAGGACGACCGACTCGCGGAGGCAGTCTACGAGCTGACGGGGCGGCGGCACGGCGAGAACGTCACGCAGAACATCTCGTGGGCGGCGGTCGCGCAGCGCGTCGTCACGCGCACGGAGAAGCAGTGCCGCACCAAGTGGCTCAACCAGCTCAACTGGAAGCAGAAGGGCGGCGCTGAGTGGACGCGCAGCGATGATGCGACCCTCATGAGCAAGTAAGTATGGGGCTCAAGGGGGAGGCTGGCTGGGGGAGGAACTAGGTGGGAGAAGAGCTTGGTGCATGGGAGGGTCCGGTTTGGGGAAGGGCTGGGTGCGTGGGAACCGGGTGGTGCAAGAGCTGGTCGGGAGAAGGGCTGGGTGAAGAAGGAGCTGGGTGGTACAAGGGTTGGTCAGGGGAAGGGCTGGGTAAGTGAGTCAGTGAGTGGGGGGGGGGCAGGTGGCAGTTGGCAGAGAGGCTGGACAGGGTGATGGGATGGGGTTAAGAGGATCGAGCGATTGGGTGGGAGTGGAGGTGCTGGGGGTACTGTGTGTGGGAACGGTGGGGTGAGGACTGGGCAGAGTGGGGTGGGGTGTGGGAAATCACAACAAGCGAAGTGGAGTGGACATGTAACGAGGAACCCGTACTCATCAGTGAGTACGATGTGGGGGGAGGGGGGCACTTAAACGATACTGTGATGATCGTCGCTTCCTCTTCAGTGAGCCGACTGCTGTCCGCCTGCACATGTGTAAACCCACCTGTCATTAGAGCGTGTGTTGCTTTTGTTTTGCTCGTGTGCAGGATGAAGGAGCTAGGTGCCAAGGAGGAGACAGACGTGGACTGGGTGCAGCTGTCAAAGGGCTGGAGCAGCGTGCGTTCACCACAGTGGCTGCGCAGCAAGTGGTGGAACCTGAAGCGTCACATGCCCGCTTACCAGCTCATGCCGTTCCCAGGTAAGCCTATCCTCCAACCCCAAGTGTGAGAAGTCACAGTGTGCAGTGCCATCCCGCGGTGTATCGGTTTATTATCTATATGTGTACAGGGTCACCTACTAGTGTTACAGAAATTGTCAGATATTTGATTAGCAGCTTGGGCATAGGTAATCGGCAGCTATGTATGACAGTACACATTCCTGTGGCATTCCCATCCATAGTGTGGTGGATAATAGCAAAGCACATGATAATGATGATGATCATATGATGATGACAGTATTGCATATGCTAGTGCTGATGGTGCTGCTGCTGATAATGGTGCTGCTGCTGCTGTTGCTGATGATGATAATGATATTGACAATGATGATTATAATGACGATGATTATGATGATGATGATAACGCAGTTGAGAGTGGTGTTAATGATGACGATGTTAATGATGTTAACGATGATGCCTGCAGATATCGTCGAGCACCTGTATGCGGAGAATGTGCTTGGCTGTCGGATGACAGAGGCTGGCTCCTCGTCGTCACGCACCAAGCCCATGCCGCTCGTCAGGACTGTCTACACGCTCGGTTCCGACGCGGAGTTCACCTCGTCCGACAGCAAACCCGATGGCATCATCGTGTCCGCGGGTGAGTCTGAAAGTCTTAGACCACAATTTAAAAAATCTTTGTTTGCCCTCACCTGACCAAGGCTGAAAAGTTTGGGTAGGTAGGTCGGCTTTTTTTTTTTTTTTTGAGGGTGGGGGTCTTTTTACAAATTCAGCCTGGTGTCTACATGCTCGGGTGTACTTGTGTGGAGATACCTTTTATGTTGAATGTTTCTTTTGCTTGGTACATATAATGTATTGCCTACAGATTTATATAATGTACAGTGATACAATTTGTTTAAAAAAATAAGATCAATAAAATTTTTTGAGTCGGCCCCTTTTTGGCGGGTCGGTCGGGTGAGGGCAAACAAACAATATTTTTATTATGGCCTCAACGTCTTAACGGTTTTTATCGACGTTTATCGTCACCGAACATTTATCGGGTTTTTTTTCGGGCAGCTCTGCCCCTGTAGTGCCCAGCACTTTTGCGAGAAGGAGAACGAGCGAGGGATTCGTGTGGTCGGTGGAACGTAGCATCTATATTATGGGCATACTTTGGTAATAGACAGGCCTCCTCTGTGATGACGTCTCTATACTGCATATAGCGTGCGTCATATGTATTGTTATACTCGCTACATTGCCTTAATAATTACATTATGTTATAGTTGCACTCGGTATGAGCAGGCCTCCTCTGTGATGACATCTCTATACTGCATATATATAGCGTGAGTCGTACGTATTGTTATACTCGCTAGATTTTGTTGATTCATTAATTAATTATTACATCACGTCTCAGTGTGCTCACTGAACGACGATGAGCAGGCAGACTCGGGCACTGACGAAGCGTCGCGCATGGCTGCCTACCACATCCTACCAGAGACGGAAGGAGATGACCAGCAGTACCTGATAGCGCAGCCGTCGGGCGATAGCAACTCCGCCGACACCAGGCAGATCATCATCCAAGCACTGCCGGTACGCTGCGCGGCGCGTGCGAGTCCACTGACTAGTGTCGAGGCTGCAGCCATCTTACGATGAGACTTATAGTAATAGCATAGCATAGCAGTTATTTATTATTTCCGTCCCTCTCTCTCTCTCTCTTTCTCTCTCTCTCTCACTCTCTCTATTTCTCTCTCTCTTGCTCTCTCTCTCTGTCTCTGTCTCTGTCTCTGTCTCTGTCTCTGTCTCTGTCTCTGCTCTCTGCTCTCTGCTCTCATGTCTCATGTCTCTTCTCGTTTCTCTCCTCTCTCTGCTCTCTCTCCTTCTCTCTCTCTCTCTCTCTCCCTCTCTCTCCCTCTCTCTCCCTCTCTCTGCCTCTCTCTTGCTCTCTCTCTCTCTCTCGCTCTTTCTCTCTCATTCCTTCACCTCCATGCATTTCTCTATTCATTCACTCCAACGTGCCCTTGACACTGTTACACAGAGCAATGAGAATGTGACAGTGGAGAGCACCAACCAGCTTCGTCACATCATGATCGATGCTGCTAGTGGTGTCGCACTCGGTCTCACGGGCGACGGAATATCTGACACCGACCTTCGCGCTCTGGGAATCGCCACCGAGGTGACGTGCACACGGTGACGGTCAGATGCTATCTGTTTTTCCCATTGTTATGGTTGTTACAGTGGTTGCAATGTGTATTCCTGTTGAAATAATAGTAACTGGCACCGGAAAATCAACTGTCGTTAGAAAATTTGTTAAACAAAACTGGCATAATCAGAATTGGTACAATATTTACAATGTTGCGATCGAACTGAATGCCACACAGCTTCCCTTTGATTCATCTATGATTACAATGTTTATGATTCTATAAGAGTGAAGGCAGTATCCACAGTCATTATCAGTTGCAAACTGCGGCTATGCATTTACAGAATTTAACCATCAATCGTCCCTACTTTACTTTTTTAGAATCGGTCCGAACTGTTTAGCAGCCACCTTCTTTTAGTAGCATTTTCTACTTCCAAACTTTCTGCACGTCACTCTCGTTCATTGCTGATCCTGCGATTCTGAACATTTCAGGGAAGCTCCGGCGCGCAGCTGGAAGCTGTGGCACACGAGGAGGATGAGGATGCTGCGCTGCAGACAAAGCAGGATGAGGCCCTGACGGATGCGGGAGGTGGCGGCGGCAGCGAGGCGCTCTCTGCGCACGGCGGAGAACAGCCGAGGAAGAGCGACGTAAACGGTAAGAGGGCGTCTGCTACGCCGTGCATCGCAACGCGAGTTATTTACAGCGGCGACAAACCCGGTCAATTAATTAATCCAATGCAGCCTGCGCCGATAGCGAAAGACTCGTATCGAAATAAGCTCTGTGTTAGACATGAGATTACTCACAATCTTTTCTGTAAACATGCTTTAGTGTCAGAGAAGGGAGAGAGAGATTCGTATTCTAATAAGTTCTCAGCAAGCGAATGCTTAAAATGCCTCCTCCGAGCATAGATCAGTATCTTGTGTAACAGTAATTGTAACAGTAAATGTAACAGTAACAGTAAGAGTAAAAAAAAACATTAAAAAAAGTAACATGTAGTGTAACAGTAAGAGTAATAAAAAAAACAGTAAAAAAAGTAACATGTAGTGTAACAGTAAGAGTAATAAAAAAAACAGTAAAAAAAGTAACATGTAGTGTAACAGTAAGAGTAATAAAAAAAACAGTAAAAAAAGTAACATGTAGTGTAACAGTAAGAGTAATAAAAAAAAACAGTAAAAAAATTAACATGTAGTGTAACAGTTGAGATTCATCGGCTTCATTCACGCGTTGACAGCGGCGCACGATGACGCGCAGACGATGGCGGCGCAGCAAGCCGGTGATGCCGAGAAGTTTCACTCGGGGGAGGACACTGCGGCGGGCGCGCTGGCGGTGATGGTGACGGATGCAGGGAACTTCAAGGAGGCGGTTGCCACATCGCAGTCCAGTCCCAACTCTGACATGCTCAGCTTACGTACAGGCGAGTACTGAATACGCCATGTTTTTCGCGTACAGATATTTTCGCGAATTCAGACATGACGGACAATTTCGCGAGTGGTTAATTTCGCGGTCGGTGAATTCCCGAATCGGTGAAGAACGGCGTGTTGTTATTTTCGCGGTCGGGGGCGCGTTCGCGAAACTTAAACCATCGCGAAATATACAGGGTATACAGTACCCCAAGAGCTACCCGTCCTGTGATGAGCAGTGCATCACAACTTGGATCGCACCTGCGTATGCACTGAACGCTTATCGTACGTCAAGCCGACTCAACCATAGCAGCAGAACTATAGCAGCTGTTCCCCTGCAGAACCCTAGCAGCTAAAACTATTTTGTTAGATTTCAACCATCCCTAAAATATCACCTGTTTCAGGTTTAAATTATATATTCGGATTTTTTAACGCTATTAAATAGAAACTGGCAAGATTACGGGTTGTACTCTGTTGATTTAAGTTGAAGCCTTTCTAATGTTGCTCCAATTGGAGAAGGGGTAATATAGGCCTATTTTGCTGTTTAGATCCGATGGTAGCAGGAAGACAGAGTCCTATCCTCGATACAGCAGCAACCACCATCATAGACACGGACTAGTGCACCACACAACCTAACAGCAGCAACCACCATCATAGACACGGACTAGTGCACCACACAACCTACGCAAGCAAACAGTCCTGTCGTATACACAGCCATGACTGACCAGTGCACATGATACTCGTTGCAAATTGCTTTACAGTGCTGCAGTAACTGTTTAGAATTTTAATATGAATTCATGTTTATTGCAAGAGAACAGTTTTAACAGTATAGGTATAGTAGTTAGGTACTCTCTGTGGTGGAGGTGAGCTCCTGATCTCTCTGTTGTAAAAATAACATGCATCACTCTGCAGTTGTGTACGTCACGCCCTCAGGAATGGATGTCGGCATCATATTGTAGTGCATTCTTGTAAACAATATGTATCAGGTAATCCTTAGAACAAGAACAGAGCTATTAAACTATAATACCGAATTAAATATATCTGCATTTTGTTGCATTATAATATTTATTTTGAGTTTTTAATATTTACATCTTCATTATCATAAATATTATTGATACACTATTGATACTTTATTGATACATAGCTATCAATATCCGGTATCTTAAAAACAAATCTTAAATTATAGTTTTATCTGCGAAAATAACATCGCTCACTTTTCGTTGGTGTTACCACCTTGATTCGTCACAAGAATTACCAATATGTCGCTGGATACCAAAAAATAATTACACAAGATCTGCAATAATTTGACTATTTCCCTCGTCTCTAAGAAGTTGCATCCAATACTTCAGTCGCATACTTTGTGTTAGCAATTGACATAGCACAGCCATTTTGTGGTCAATATAAAATTCTTTGGGAATGACACGGTACCTCTTCGACCAGGCACGCTGCATTTATAACCAGCACGGCACTGTCATCAGAATTGCAATTGATTAGGGCTACATTATCTATATATAGGTTTATCTGAATTCAAAAACCAGTAATAACTCCTTATCCTCATCACTATAGTTACTACAAAGCAAAATGCCTAGCTTTCTGATACATGTATCTACTTATGCAGCGTAACAAGATAGTTTACCAGCACGTTACGCTCGCATAATTACCTGCCTTTTACCCGCAATCCCACGTAATATCAGCCATGAAAAACAGGTTCACACAAGACTGCGTGAATGACATTTGCTGCTAATGCAGAGTTGCTACGGATTCTCCACACTGCCAGTGTATCATTTGCCCTTGTGGAAGTAGCAGTTGGCACAAATGCAGATGAGCAGCACGCATAGCGTATTGTAGTAGATCATCAACCGGAACTTTGGATCCAGATCTCCCTGCCTGTACCAGTTTATCTGAAACGCGGCATCGCAGTGACGTGAGGGGAATACGATAAGGGATGAAATCTGCTAAGATTCGACTAGAGAATGACTGCAGCACAAACTATTTCTACCCCTGATTAAAGCGTGTATTGCGGGAATTTTCCAGTGTTTTCCTCATTTTCATGATACCTACCGTTATTGCTTGAGTAACAGCAATTGTCTAGAGTAACGATAAAATGTCTTAGAACCTTCGTATTCACCAAATCCAATGAAATCATGCACAATTACAATTTTGCGTTCTGTTTCTGTTTACCGTTGCCATCTCTCGGACTTTCTCGCGGTAGCGCGAGACATCTATCACGGTGCAGTAATGCATACCGTCGCACCGTAGAAATCAGGTCAGAGTGTAAACACAGACGTTCATACTAGCGTAAACAGCAGTGTAGTACTAATGCCACGTAAAGTCTGTTATTAGAGAAGCTTGTGGATATCAAACATTTTCTTAGGACATGGCCTAATGGACAGAGTGAAAAACTTTTTTGTTTCAGTGCTGACCTAACATTTTTATCACTTTATTGAAAGGATCATGAAATGTGCTTTCCACTGACATGCGAAAAGTAAGTGTCTGATAACATTTTGACCCTCAAGAGGAGGGTTAAACATGGATTCTTGAACTGCCTCAATGATGTCACAGTGTTGTCATATTCATGGCACATCCATAATCTAGAAAGCCTGGAAAGCCATATAATAGCCGAATGGGCACAGCACAGGCGTCACGGCTCAAAGGTCCTTGGATCGAATCCCATCAAAAATAAGATTTTTATTATTTACCTGTTTTCTGTATTTTTCTATCTTTATCCATTTAACTATTTTTTTCCAATTAACGCAAATATTTACATGATTTATTTACAACAATTTAATAACAACAAATAATTTTTACAACAATTATTATTTATTTATTTTTAATAGGGTTAGGGTTAGGGTCACAATGCACAATAAAACAGGAGTTTCAGGCACGCTATTTGTATCAACCAATGGGATTTGGGAGGTATGCAGAATGCAGAAGGTTGCTGAAATGTGTACGCAACTGCGAATCTGCATATCTGCACCTAACAAAGGTGTCACTACGCAAGACTTAAATGTTACGTTTATAACCGTACCAAAAGACCTCAGATGAGCCCAGACGCTCTGCGGCTCTTGTTCTATGCTATAACTGCATAGAATCTTGGTGTTTTGAATGTTGGTATAATCAGTGATATTTCCAATGTCAGGTGAGACTATATTCAGCTATATTTAGTTTTTCTGAGCCAAAAAACTCGCAATACATGCTTTAAGAAGAAGAAAAAGAGATGGTCCTGTGGACCATGTAGTTTGAAATTTAGATGGTCCTCCTAAATTTTAGATGGTCCTCATAAATTTCAAATTGTTCTCTAAAAGTAATGTCAGGCAAGCGTAAGAAATTTTACATGGTGATAAAATGGTTTAATTATTCACCTACAATGAATCTATCAAACGATACAGTAATTGTTTATTCACTTTAATAGTATATAATATTGGGTAATAAAGTTGTTTCAGTAGAATTTAGTTGAACCCATAACACCGGACTATAGCATGTCTCAAATATGGTATCGTAAAATGGTACCGTAAAATGGGACCAAAATATTCAATGGTCCGTCGGACCATTGATTTTGGAAATTTGATGGTCCTCCTGATTATTTGATGGCCCCGGACCATCGGACCATCGCTTATTTCGACCCCTGCCTATGAATACTCTCAATCCACTCTATCCATAAAGATATTCGAAAGCAGTTGGCATTACGCTAGGCACCAGATTGTTTTTCGTCCAAACCAGTTCGACGATGTTAATTTTAATTCATTAAAGACATGGGTGTTAAACAATAGAGCTTTCATCACTTCCATCTCAGCAGAAACGTTTGCTGTTTTTGTCAAGCTATTCTCGATTGGTCGTACATTGGGGTCAACACATGTTTTGAGAGCTCATCTGGAGTATGATCGTGACGTCACACATGAACTCGGCTATCTCCAAAGGTGAATGCATACAGCCCAGAGACAATAGAACACTAATAGTTCTGTATCTAGGAATGTTCTGAATATACAATATATTCTGATAGTAATCTTTTCTAGGGTCTCTGCATTCACATTTGGAGATAGCCGAGTTCGTGCGTGACGTCACAATCATACTCTGAGTTATCAAAACGTATGCCGACCGTACATTGGATCAGTACCTGGATGCAGGCGCCACCTATAGTAAATTGTGTAAACATCATCATGTGCACCTAATTAAATCCCGATTGGCTGTCTCACTTAGGCGGCTTTTAATGAAATTGTCAAACGTTTCACGAGTACAAGTTACGAATCTGAGTAAACAGGTTGACTGTGTCTGAAACTGAAGGTCTCTTCAGTGTAACATCGTATAACAAGTTGTACTTACCAGTAGGACGTTAGAGGCGCAGATCAAGACGATGCAGATGGCAAAATACACGTTAAGACCTAGCGGCGGCCATGATGGAAACGCAAACGCACTGATGAGGGTGAACTGCAAGTTATCCACATCTGGCTATAAGATGCTATTCTATATACTAGTATATTTTTCTATAGGCACCCACGTGTGAGCATGATACACATCTCTGTACAAATTTGAGTGAGAACATAAAAATGGTCAATTGTCTCTCATATAGCTTTAACGACATAACAATGTGAGAATTTTACATAGTATAATTCCACGCGTTCACTCCATTTGTGAGTACTAATAACCTAACATGATACTTACGACCACAAGTATCACAGTCAAGGCTCCAACAATCAGGTTTACCATGCGATCCTAAAATGGAAATTCAGAAATTACAAAATAACCAGTTAATAAGTTATAATCCATTGAATCAATCATCTGAGTGAAACTTATCTTAGTGGAGTGAATTAGCATGGTGAGAAACACACACAATAATGTAACACAGATCAAGAGTAGGAGTTCTCTAGCTACCTTATAATACCCTTACTCTCTTGTTCAGTTTCATTATTACATGGCATGAAATTCCAAAAGCAGTTTTTTACCAGCCCTCACCATAATTTACCAGCCCTCACAAATTTTTTTTTTCTTCAAAAATATAGATACGACTGTTTCACTGACTCTTGCTTGTCCGAAAAATGTTGTAGTGTGCGGCATCGCGTAGTAGCTGTTGAACAGATTATAATGCAGATCGTGAATGATGTCCAAAGTGTTTTTGTCAGTGTCATGTTTCACGCTTGCATTCTCGATTTCAAATTTGTAAAATGTTGATAAATTATGGCGTGCTATCCTTCAGATAAAACAGGCTATTTGCTCATTAATGCTATAAATAAAAATGTAGGTACTCGCTAAGACGGCTGAAACCACCCGGATCGGAGGGCCGGTGTTTTGCCAATGTTACTGCCCTCTAAATAATTTGCCAGCATATGCCGGTGGGCTGGTGCTAATTTTGTGCCCTGTTATTATATCTAGGTGAGGAATTAAGTGACTGAAATTAATAATGGACCATACTGCCAAAATTATGGTTAATTTGTAAAAGATACACATCTCTAATTAATAAACATATTTGTGAAGTGTCACAGGGGATTGGCTGAAATGCAAATACACCCATTGACAGTTCTGCGCCTATGTTCTGCGCCATTAGTTACGCATCTCCGCGAGAGCCCGGATGTGCGAGTAAACTCCGCAATATTGTTTATCTCGATGCGTTATCTGCCTTGCATACGCAGGTCGCTCACCTTTGTGTCGAAGAACAGTGCACGTAGCAGAGAATAGAGCACCGATAATGGATGACCTGAGTGACATGACACTTGATACATTTAAATTATGGTCAATGCATGCTCTAAAAGTCTTTCTTAAGCCAATATGATCCGTTTGAGCAGCCCTTCACACTACACGTTAACGCCATTGTTCGCCCATTTTACTCGCGCTTTCTGGGACGGAAACTCCTCCCGACCTTTGACCTTAGGCTAAGAGCATGCGCAGTGTTAAACTGTCAACGGGTGTATTCAAGTCCTTACAGTTGATATAAGCATACAGAGGTCACTTGACCTAGCTATCAGTATCAGTCTAGCATGATTGACGGACAGCCTTAGGCAATCATTGTTGTGATGCGATCTTACACGTCCTACAACTGACACAAGTGCTGTAAAATTGACATATTGGCACACATGCATGAAACACATGTACAAACTGGTCTAGCTTGATAGACTGAGCAAGTGTGTTCTGGGGGGGGGGGGGACTATATCTCACTCATACGGATGGCTCAGTTTAAACTTCTATTTATGAACTTCCTTTTTTGATGTTACCACTCGTACTTCCAAGTTGAGATTATTTCTATGTATGTATACTGTATATGTGTGACACTAATCCTCCAATTTCTAAACTAAAGAGGGCTCTATAGCAAGTGTCATCATTGCTTACCCTGGGTCGTGATTCCCCGAACAGTGGCTTGTCAGCCATGTCATGGTAGAGTGGCGTATGTTCAGTCATTTCTGCTGTTGCTTCTTTATTTCTCCGCACACAAGTCGACTGTCATCATTTGGACTAAAACTGTATAAAGTACAAAAATAGCTCGATAGGATAACTCTCGTACATCAAAATATTCTCTTCCTTCCCCAGTAGTGCTGAGAGGGTCTATGTCCCCCGGGGTACTGCCGGAACGTACCCTGGGTACCCTGGGGGACATAGACCCTATGAGCCCCAGTAGTAGTTCATTATAAGATTGAAAACATTTTTTACTGCAATTTTTAGTGTTGAACTTCAATCCCTCCTCGATTTCAAATCCCTCCTTCTTCCGATCTTCGGTACATGATGATGTATTATGCATGCGATGTATACATGTATGACGTATCATGCATGCGATGTATACAAGATGTATCATGCATGCAAGCTATACAAGATGTATCAGGCATGCGATGCATCGCATGCCTGATACATCATGTATAGCTTGCATGCATGATACATCATGTATACATCGCATGCATGATACATCATGTATAATGATGTATCAGGCATGCGATGTATACATGATGTATCATGCATGCGATGTATACATGATGCATACTTGCCTGCGGCCACTGTACACAGGCTATAGTACTAGAGTAGAGAGCTAGTACTGATACTACTTATACTACAACTTGTACTACTACAAAGTATAACTATATACTTCTAACCTTAGCAAGACCGTTTGTTGGAGCTAGGTTACCAGGTAAATACAACAATGTAACCCAACACAACGTCACAAGTACGGTACACGTTAGATCTAGAACTATAGCCCTTCGCTCCGCCACAGCTGTCTGTCGCGAAGCGCTATACATGTAGTTCTAGAGCTAGGTAAACGTACGGTAGGCCTAGCTCCAAGAAACGGTCTTTGCTAGGGTTAGAAGACCTTGTGTATATTGACCCTAGTCACACAGCCTGGTCGGGCTACGGAAGGACTCCTAACCCTAGCAAAGACCATTTTTTGGAGCTACGGTAGGCTTAGCTCTAGTACTAGGGGGGGGGGGGCGACTAGATGACCGTATGGTCTTTTCGCCATCCCTTCACTGCACGTTATTTATATTTTGTTAAAAAAATCCTTGTATCTGCTGATATTGAAAGTGGTACTATAGTACTATAGTACAGTTGCCGCAGGCAAGTATACATCATGTTAAACCGACCAGGCTCTCCGAGGCTAACGCTCCATTAGGAGTGTTCCCAAGTTTGATATGACTCCAAACTTGTTGGAACACTCCTAATGGCCAGAGTATCACCCCTCTCCGGCTGTTACACGGCGTAGGACGTCTCGCCAACGTAGTGTTAAGCGAGAAGGGAACTTGTGCTCGTAGAGTCTATGTCCCCCTGACCAATGTGTGACCTGGCTCGTTTAGCTATTTTTGGCTAACCCTGACCCTAACCCTAACCCTCTATATATTATATATTATATATATATAATATACATTATATGTAGTGATGGGATCGGCTGGAATTTACATAATCATTATCGGTTTCCCTTAACCCGATCGATAATCGATTGATAATCGGATAATCGGCTTAATAATAGCATAGATTTAATTTAATTTCTACTTGTAACATTATAACATCATTCAATATTATCAGTTTTTATAATACATGTCAGGCCTATTAACATCTTTAAAGGTTGCTGTATGCTATATTCAATGTCTGTTCCGTATCACAGTATTTAATCATAAAAGAAAAGGTTAAATGCCTTATTAAAACATTAAAGTTTTACAACAAAACTTGATCAAGACATGTCTTTATTATAGTAGTAACGCTTGTTGTGTGTTCTAATAGTGTAGGCTGGTAGCTCGAGTTAATGTCCTGCCGATGGAATATTCCTCTCCAACATAAATGTAACAAACATCGAGAGTAGAACTGTCATTCTACGGATAACATCTGGGATCGTAGTCAAACCAAAACAAAGACACTGTCCAATTTGTCCATGCTCTATAAGTCACTAGTACCTCTGCCAATCAGACAGGACCTATGTTGAACAGTGATCTCATGGTAGGGTGTCTCTGGAGTACACCACTGATAGCACTTCTAGCTTTCCTACCATATCATGTCCATGATTGCCCTATTTATAATTTAAAAATAATATAAATCTTTTTATTTATTTTTGATAATCGATTTATTTGTTTTCATAAATCGATTTATCGATTTGGAGACTATACTCTGATCGAATTTCGATTATAATCGACTCATCGGCGACATCACTAATATAATATTATATATATATATACATATATTAGCCAGAATAGTTAATTA